ATGCGTCACTCGTTTTCACCCTTTGGAACTTTTAGACACTATGAGGAGTTTGCTTTTTCTGTGGATTACAAGTACCTTCACTTGGTGGATGAGCGTCAAGAACCCCACAACTGGCAGGCTTTGTACTTAAACATTTATTCACATTGCGTCATTTTTGCTTCTAGCAGTATTTACTATTGTGGCTGTTTCATCGCTATTGGCAGGTCACCACTGGGAACAGAAGGACTCAACATTCCAGCAGCTCCTTAGGAAGTAATTGTTGTACAAACATGATGTAGACAGCAAAAGTACTATGTTAATGCCCATACTATGATGTTTTTTCACCTTTTAGATTTATAATTAGATTCAACCCATTTCTTTTTTTATAGCATACCTGTACTGAAACGCACACAAACAGATCATTTAATTTTTCAAGTGTATGAATTATTTTATAACATTTTTGTGTTTGCAAAAAAATGCTTATTTAAAAAAAAATAACTAAATCGGGGAAATCCAATGCTTTTCAATGCACAGTGTACAGCTATATTGCCTAATAAGAAAGCCCAACATTAGCTCAACATTTCTAATATCCTGCTTTGAATTCTCAACTAAGCTCTGGAGTACCAGACTTTTACACACCACATATGCAAAGGGTAAATATATAAAATAACGATATGCAATATTTCCTATTTACCTGACTAAATAAAAATCAATTCATGTTTAAAAAAAATATAATTTACTCCTGAACATAAAACTTGAAAAAAATGGTAGAAAAACACTATACATAAAGTTTCAACTAACCTGGGGTCTTGTTAACTGGTACCTGTCAGTGTCTATAGAGTGTGATTACAGCTTTCCCTCCACTAGACATGTGCGATTCGTTTCGTTCCGAATCGAAATTCGGACGAATTTTCGGAAATTCGGACATTCGGATGTATCCGAATTCCGAATTACAGATATAACGAATGCAAACGAATCCGAATTTCCGAAATTCGGTAGCGGTAGTTCGTTCGAACGTTCATCTCGTTTCTTATTCGTTTCGTTCGTTGGAGCATAGTGACAGAGAAGGATAAAAACATTTTTCCCCCTAAAATGTCACTTCGCTGCAAACTAACGAACAACACAAATGTAAAACGAACACGAAACGAACGTTCGAACGAACTACCACTAACGAATTTCGTCCGAATTCCGAATCCGAATTGACTTTCACACCCGAATCACGAAAAAATAAATAACACAAATCCGAATTTAAAACAAAACTATTTTTTGGGCAGTGCACATGTCTACCCTCCACCCCAGGAGTATTGCGCAGTCCTATGCAAGTTTCCATCTTACAAAAAGTCCTGTGAACTTTTCCATCTCAAAATGCAATCAATTGATCACCAAGACTTGCATTGCATTGTGGGATACAGTTTTTCCTGGAAACTCAAAAGATACTTGGAAACATCCATGGGGTTCCGAGATGAAGGGCAGAGCGGCAAGGTGCTTTTGTATTCAAGCTTTGTAGAGGGTGCCTGCTAACTTTATACTATATATGGTATGTTTATGTTGTGTGCTTCATAGACACAGATTTGCTTTAGTTAGGTGACATTTCCTATTTCTGTTTCACAGCCTGATTTTGTTCAAATGATGATTTGTTTGTTAGGGAAAGAGCAGTGTCTTTGGTCCTGTGCACAGTAGGCCTTGGCTATGCATGCCATGTGCAGCTGGGTAGGGGTGTTCTCGTGTAGGACATAGTTTTCACCTTCTTGATCCGTTGAACACAATGCATACCCCATGCCACCAGCTTCAGACAGGCAGAATCTGATGGTTTGGAATATGGGCTTTGTGTGGTAAAAACATTATGGATATTGTACAGTGAATTGTGATGTGTGAAATGAGCTCCAAGCACAAGCCTACTTTTGATGATGTCAACTTAGTTGCAAAAGTTATAATAGAAGGAAGCAAGATCTGCATTTTTTCACAGAGGGGCACTATATAACCAGTATACTTCATAAAATATTGTTTTTAAAAAGGTAAAAATATAAATTTAAAAGATTTACAAAATTTGAACCAATCATAAAATTAGGTCAAGATTAATTCAAAATATGTTTCCAAATTGTGGATAGAATGGGGAAGAGCTAGAACCTATGTGATGTTATTAATGCTGTATGTGCTCTCACTGCTGTGTCACTGAGATTGAGAGTAAGGGAAAGTAAGAAAAGAGAGTAGTAAAAACCAGATTGAGGTTGAGTGCCTTTCCCTACTCTACCCAAAATGTCATAAAAAGGATTTCTGTTAAACATACACGACTGCCGGCTCTAACATCAGGTATTAAACAGGAAAAAAAAGTATTATGAATGAATGTCTAAGACCCATACAAAGCTGCTTTTATCATTTAAAATATTCAATTTATTCAGACCTTATTAGAAAAAGAAATCGGAATATGAAAATGTCAGCGATGGCGTGAAACCCTAGACCAAAGAGAGCAATTAAACCTTGTAGTGTGGGGGTAGCCCCACTGCAAGGGTTAGTGTTTAATATGCCTGGAATTCTTCTTCAATAAAGGGTTTTGACTCCTGCAACCAAATATATGCTGTAAAAAAATCAAGTGTTCAATATCCTACCACAGTGTACCAGTGACAGGGATACTAAAGGTTAGAGGAGGAGGAGTGCTCAGAATACACATTATATGGTACCTGCACAGTGAAAGCATTAAACAGGAAGGGCTGTTACTGAAGATGCAGTCAGTAGGAATTGCTCAATACAAAGACAGGTGAGAATGAACAATTTAATGTAGCTTATCATACATAATATATGCATAGCCTGTCCCAATGCACCATTGTTAACCAGCTACAGCAAGCACAAGGAAGTACTTCAAAAAGTGTCAATGAATTGACCTGGGAAGGAGCACAATATCGCTGGCCATTAATTCAAAGCTAATACAGTACCCATAATCTTCAGGCGTGCATTTACACCTTAGTCATATACACAGGCATATACACCCTTTATACTCTGACAATTTGTTCAATTAGCATATTTTAATGAACTTCACAATCTGTGGTTTTATATCAATATTATGTCTGGAGAACTAAGCAGTGTTGACATGCTCCAATTCATTTATTAGTTCCCTAGCAACAAGCAAGAAATGCTTTCTTATAGGTGCCGTCTATTTTATCATTGTTCCTTTTATAGTCGTGGAAATAAGGAAGACAATGATTTCTGGGATTCAGTCTTTCATACTCTATAACTTGCCTCATGCATTATAAATGGAAGATGCTTCTGATTTAATTTAGCTCAGAAGTCATTCCGTTTATTAGCATGGTTTGATATATTAGCATTGTGGACTAAGGAATCAGCATACATTGTTGAAGGAAAATTGCTGATGACTTTGTGTCCCAGCAAAGTATCTGAAAAGCTTGTAATAGAATATCAATGGGGATTCTTTATCATACAGTGAGAATCTCATAGCATCTTGTTTCAAAGAAACTGCTGTAGATGGGTCATAAAAAGTCTTATATGCTGACAGATCAATACAAGTAGCTGTGTATACTGCTGAATATATTTAAAGAAACAACAATGATTCAGTAAGGATAAGAAAAATGTGGAAAGCGGACCATTCATTCACAAATTATATTGTCTTAACTGACTACAGTAAGCAAACCTGAATGGTTTCAATGGGTTGCTGTATTTGACATTGCTTACTCTTTTTTTTTTGCCAGCTAAACCCAGTTCTTTTTAATAGAGATCGTCCACTGAAGTCTGCTGGGAAACCACTTCTGGGACTGGTAATCTCCTTATTCCCCCATAGCTATCACTGGTTCCTCCTGCTGACATCCAAATCACTACAGGACATAATGCATTAAAATGCAAGGAATGTTGAAGTACCATTCAAGATGAATGGCACTGCAATGCACTAAATCACTGATCCTGCATCACATGCACTGCAGTTAAGCACAGTAAAATGCATTTTTTACCACTCTTTACAGCAAATCATAGGTGTGAAGTTAGTCTTAGATTATTTGCACCCTTGTCTTGCTCTGTTTATTAGTCTCTTGTTTTTTTTGTCTGACATATAGTCCAAAATTATTTTGCCCAGTTGAATTTGTCCAAGTATATGGCCCTTCAAGTAGAATAAAAAAAGTATTAGCACACGTCTTTTAATATGTACCTCTCCTATGGGTTTGAGGTGTACTCAAAAGTATAAAACGTATTTGAATAAGGGCGATGTTAACGCTCAGCTGCAGCTGCATGAAGCATGTGGTGCTTGGTGACTGTTTCTGTGCTGTTGAATGGAGTAATAAGTTGTTCAGTCTCGAGTAAGCACTGACTAGAAATCTAATTTGAACTAATATAGAATTATATTTCCTTGCCCCCTGTTACTGAATGGAGCAACAGGGGTGTAAAAATGTGATGTTAGAAAAGTGGAAGTTAAATCAAACTTGATAATTAGCCTACTTGGGTAAAGCACAGCTTCACTCCAGAATTTGTTTTTCTGTTATTAAGATAAATATGAAGAAATTCATAATATTATTATGTAATATTCTATAAAGCCAGCAGGTGGAGCTCCTGTCTACTGTTCACATTATTAGCACGATTATGTGCCTATGTATCGAATGAAACATATTGTTTTCAGAACCTGGAACAAGTCATAAGATCAATGATCAGGTGATAAGACCCCAGGTTTCAATCAGACAAAGGTATCTGCAAAGCAATCTGCTCTACTTTGGTAATAACTCATAGTTCTCCTAAACAGATATGAAGCATTAATTTAAGACTTAAGAATTAATTCAAAACCATTATAGTTTCCCTTTGAGCAATTTTGGTCTAGTTTTGATGGCTACTATGACCAGAAAGCAGCAGTTCACTGTACTACACACATAATCCTTGTTGGTTTATTCACGCTTGCTCATAATATTTGTATATGTGTGGCTAGCTGTAAAATGCACAACACAGCAAACATTACAACAAATACTGTTTTCCAGCAGCCACGAGTTATTTTGCCATAATCCAGAATAAACAGACCAATGCTCAAACCTTACCTGGTCTAATAGCTGTGAGTAAACCTCATGGCAGTTAACAAAAATATACTTGTAGGTGGAATCTAAACAAGCCCGCACACAGTCCTTCACCACAGTGCTAGCTCTTGGAGGACTCTGAAGTTCAAGAACCTGAAAAAAAATAATAATCATGAAGGCTTTGCATTCAACTGCTTCTATTGTGACAGAGCACAGTGATTGCATATAGCTGAATTGCTTCACCCACACAACAATGAGCAGCAAAATGTTGATTCATTTTGTTATTTTAATGTGTAAGATGCATCCTACAACATGTTTTGTATTCAATTTCAGAGAAAAAAAAATGAATTTGTTAAAGGGCAGCTTCTCACAAAACGGATATCTCAGTTGATGCTGGGTATTGTGTGTAAAAACCCTTCATGGCCTCATATTTCTTTTACCACCATTGAGGCAAGATTTTATTTCTCTGCCTCCTTCCACAAGACTGTCATTTTCTTACATCTAAACAAAAATATGTGTGTATTCTGCAATATGGAGAGAGCAAGATATCATTATTTAGCTCTATAAAGGCCATAGCAGTTGGATAGAAATGGAAATTTTGCTAAGCATGTCTCACCACTGGGCTCTCCAAAAAATAAACAACCGCAATATGTGATTATTTTGAATGGAGCTGCCCTTTAAATGCTAAGTTCAAGTCCCTTCTCTTATCATTTCCTATATACAGTACATCCTCTATTAGAGTGTGCATCTTCAATATTCATCAGAAAAAGCTATAACTTTTACTTTTACTGTAAAAATGTTGTAAGCTTCTAGACATACAACATCGCACACTGTACGTATTCACTAAATAATTAAAATTCTGAGGTAGCTTATAAAGCACAGCCTAACTTCCAGTCTAGCATCCACTAGCATCCTAGTGTTTATCAGCACACTACCCCTTGGGTTCCAGGCAAGCTGCCTGCCAAGCATTGTCCCTGGTCATGGGTTATATAAGGGCAGGTGGTTGGGGCTTGAGAAATGGAGAGTGTCCCACCGCATGTGAGACTGGGTCCCCCTGTGGTCACAATCAACCATAAATCATGCTGCATGGGAGGAAATATTCTATAGAATGGAAGAAGTGCAAGGGAGGACTTTGAGCGCTTAATAAGCACTGGCCTATTTACAAAGAGTGATGTCTGATAATGTCAAAAGAACAGAATGTTTTGTCACTTAGTTGGAGAAGATAACGAATATGTACATTCAGTTATTCTTCTATCTGCTTTATATTTTGACAATGAAGAATCAAGTCTTTATAAATCACTTTTTAAAAATCTTTAATGACCTTAAACAACTTTTTGGAGTTACTCTAAACAATAGGGCCATATGACATACACAAACTGAACCCAGATTAATGAAAAGCTGGAAGAGCCTTACATTTTATAATCACAGAAGAACAAATAGTACAGACACCATGAAGACAATTTGCCAGCAGTACAAACATTTAGGCGTATATTTATACATTCACCATACATTCACTGCAGGTATATCATCCTGCTGCAGTAATTGATTCACCTGCAATGAATTCTGGGTGAATATCACATTCACTACTTTTTTACTATGCCTCTTAATGTAATTAGTAATGTGCAAAATAATCTCCAGATGATACTATGCATCCAAATTGCTTTTCTCCCATTATAGAACTACAAGAGGTCAATGTTCATACTCCTTATTAAGAAGAGTTTCATATATTTAAAGTGACACTAAACTCAGCATCTACTGTAAATCTTAAGGCATTCAAGTACCTTAACTATAACAAAAATGTATCTTATTTGTGTATCACTCAGCTGTAGATCCTCAAATCATCTCTGAATTCATGCTGACACTGTCCTTCCTTCTGGAGGGTGGCTACTTTTGTTGCCCATGGTCCCTGTGTGTGTTGTAAAGTAGCCATTGCTCCAATCTCACTCCCATGATGGACTACAATCTTACGTTTAGTTTAAAAATTTCTATCGAGATTGTAGTCCACCACAGAAGCAAGCTTGGAGCGGTGTCTACTTTACAACACACACAGGAACCAAGGGAAGCAAAAGTAGCCACCATCCAGAAGGAAGTACAGTGTCAGCAGCAATTCAGAGATGATTTGAGGATCTACAGCTGAGTGTTACATAAATAAGATTTTGTTAATGGGTAAGGTACTTGAATACATTAAGTATGTATCTTCTGAATTTTGTGTAACTTCAAATGATGAGCTCAGATGTGGACCAAACCTGGTTCAAACATAGAAGGAAGCTTCTTCTGATGACTCCAGATCAGGTGCAGTAAAAGAGTGAGATTCTGTTATGTCATCTACCTTAAATGGCCACATGGCTGTATTTGGTCAATGCCAAGAATCCCACCCCTTTTCTTTATGTACACCTGCTAGGGGAAGGGGAATGCCTCATCCCTCAGCTGACTGAGTGGTCCCATGTCCCTTCCATGTTTGGAGGAGCTCATCCTTATTTCTAAGCTGTAGTAAACGATGAAAAAAGGACTTTAGCATCTTTGCTGTGATTTTTGAGGATCTTTGAAAATACCTTACTATACAGTACATGCAGATAGAGGGGAATTACATGTTTGGAAGCTACAGCTTGTTAATAGACATGTGTGATTCGTTTTATTACAAATCGAAATTCGTACAAATTTTCCTGAAATTTGTAAATTCAGAAGCATCCGAAATCCGAATTGCAGTTTCCGAATTATATCCGAAATACGAAATTCCGTTAACGAATTTCGGATCCGAATTTCTTTGAAACAGGAACTAATATTACCCCTGTAAATGAGGTTGAACAACATGACAAGATTTTTTTTTTTATCCGAAATACGGATCCGCTGCTGCTGATGGTTGCATTACAATACACAGGCAGGAAATACGAAATTCCATTGATGGAATTTCGTTCCGTTACGAACATTCGTTATATTGAAGTTAAAAAGCAAAGTACATTTGTTAATATACTGGAGTTGATGGTAGTTTTTTTAAAAATACGAAATACGAAATTCGGATACGGAATCCGTTAACGGAATTCGTATTTTGTTTGGTTGACCAATCAGAGGTTTTCTCTTCTGCTGCTGACAGTTGCATTACAATACAGGCAGGAAATACGAAATTCCGTTGACGTATTTTCATTCCATTACGAACATTCGTTATATTGAAGTTAAAAAGCAAAGTACATTTATATTGGAGTTGATGGTAGTTTTTTTTATACGAAATATGAAATTCGGATCCGGAGTCCATTAACGGAATTCGTATTTCGGATAAAAAAACAACTACCACATCGACTCCAATATTAACAAATGTATTTTTGCTTTTTAACTTCATCATAACGAATGTTCGTAAAGTTACGAAAATGTGCCGAAACTAACGAAAATTCGTATTTCGTACGAATATAACTGATGTTCCGAAACGGAACGAAACAAATTTTTGGACGGCGCACAAGTCTACTTGTTAAGGATATATACAGACTTTAATGTCCATATTCTGGGCACAGGTGCACTTTAGGGTAAACAGAGGAATTTTTGGGAAGAGAAATAAATAGCACCAGCAAAACAAGCAATACTTTTTAAAGAAACAATAAGGTGACATTGTCAGAATCACAATCCATCTGGCAGTACCAGATACAGCAGATTTCAATTGCTAGGGGATGATAAAACATACACATCAAGAAATCTAGTGAGACGCACAACAGAAATTGTGCTTCATAGACAGAGACTAAAATGAACCATAAACTACTGACTGTACCTTCATGCGAAAAAAGGTGATGCTTGTTAACAGGTCCACTGTAGATTTCAAGTCCTGGAGCCTTTCAGGGTTAGTAGCTGTGAAGTTATCCTGTTGGTAGAATAATTTTTTTATCAGGGGAAACCAGCACTGGTAAATAAATATATTCATTATTGCTTACCATTAAAATATACAAAAAAGCCACACAGCATAAGGTGCAAATAGAGTTTATTGCTGAAATTACGTTTTTGGAAGGCATGATCTCCTAAAATATAATATCATGCATTTTTTTGAAGGGGAATACAGTAGTAGAAGCATCTCAAACAAAACAGTAAACATGTACAGCTCCTAGGTGTGCCAAGTATTTTTTAATTTGGCAGATGTAATAGACAGTATATATAGGTAGTACTTACTGAAGGTAAAGAACATCAGACACTTGGAGGACAATTTTTAAATAATTTGCAGGGCCCTTTGACCTTCAAATATCTGTGAACATTCATTTTGTGTGGATATTGACAAAAACAAATAGTTTGAAAATATATATTTTTTAGGTTGAATGTATTGTGATATAATACTGCACTACAGCCACAAGATGGAGCTGAGGAGCACAGAAAATAGGTATTTATTTCCTATGTTGCTCAGCTCCAGCTATCAGCTATATCTAATTACAATTTGATCTGAAAGAAAAATATATTAGAATCATTCAATTTGCCATTATGTGCATAAAATGAACGCTCACAGATATTTGCAGAGCACAGGGCCCGACAAATTGTTTATAAATAGATCCCTTCAATTTTTATTTCTTATTGTATTAAGATCGCACTCAAACATTATGAAAGTGGTAAATTTAAATATTTATTCTCCGACTCACACAGAGGACATTAATTACAGTAATATCATCTTAATATAAATGAGTAAACTAAACATGAGATCACAGGAGTGAGTTGGGAGGGGTGGCTACTTTACAACACACACACAGGGATCTTGGTGAACATAAGTAGCCACCTTCCAGAAAAAAAGGACAGTGTCAGCACCAATTCAAAAATGATATGAGGATCTAAAGCTGAGTGATTTACATATAAGCTACATTTTTGTTAAAAGTTAAATGATGCAATTGTATAAAAGCAAAATGAACTTTGACATTTTGATAAAAAAATCATATCACAGCACTTTACCAGAGTAAATATTACCTGTAATTAATGCTTGGAGCACATCGACAACTTGTTATACCTACCCTGTATTTAGAAAGATCTATCCGAAGGGAGTTGTGCAATTGATCCAATAGTTTTATAAACTTTTCTCTCTGTATAAACAAAATACACATATTATTATTTTTATTATTATTATTATTATACAGGATTTATATAGCGCCAACAGTTTGTGCAGCGCTTTACAATATAAGGAAGACATAACAATCACAATACAATTCAAGACAAGATGGTAAGGAGGGCCCTGCCCCTGAGGGCTTACAATCTAAAAGATAAACATAAATATATAAAAACAAAAACAACCTGTTCCATAGGATTGCATGGACAGAAAATATTGTACGCGGGTACATGGGCAGAAGTTCCCAAATGCAGAAGTTTCACTTACGGGAACTTATATCCGTGTGTGTAAAAAAAAAAAGGACCAGCGTTTTTACGCGCACGCGTATGGGTTATAAGTGTAACCGTGGACAGAGTATTCTGCCATACAATCCTATGGACACAAAAAAGTAGCAGCTCCCAGACTCCACATATAAAGGCACATTCTACACTAAAGGCCCATTCATCTGTATTTGTGTCTGTGTACATGAGCCCTAAAATATGTGAGGCTGGACCTTTATGCAGCAGATGGGCATAGTTTTCATCAGTGAGCATGAAAACAGGCATGTTATTAGGAAGATCATCCTGCAGAAACATGCATGTTTTGTCAATGTTTTCCTGCCTTTTAAATATATTTACTAAATATATTTTCTTTGAAATTAATTGTTTAACCCACTTCCAATAAACATTCTGCAGTTTTATGGTAAAACTTGCAGGAATAAAAAATATGAATATCGAACAGTCCAACATCAGCATCTAAAATTGGAACTAGAAATGTGCAAACTTTTAGGAAAGGGCTCATGTATACAGGCTTTCTTTTTCTGCAACCGACTTGTGTTTGAATTGCATTTTAATTGGAAATCTGCAGATTTCCATTTACTTTATATTTGCAGTGTGGATGACCGGTCTAGGGATGCATTTGGCCTGCTTTCCATTTATTTGTATGCTGCAGGCCCTATTGAGAACCATTTGCATTGCAAGCAGATCGAAAGCAGTACCTGCCGTATTTTTGTTAGAATGTAGACATTTAAATGGAGAATGCAGCATTAATAAAACAGACTGTCTTCACATGTCCTAGTAATGATCAATGCCTCTGTTTTGGGGTGTGCACTTTATCTTTTTCCTTAGTGGTGGATTTAATACCGTTTCATGGACTTAAAATTCCCTATGACAAAGAACAAATGTATCTCTCATTCCAGTAAATTACCAAATTGGGTTAAGTACATGGTACATGTATTGCTTCAAGTCTATAATTTGTATATATTAATGTTCTCCAGCACAATGCCCCATGCTGAGGATTCATTAATAAACATCCTTTGGGAGAACAACCAGCAAGTACTCATGCGCACAGCTTGTTCCATGCTGTCAGTGTTGCCTGATTGCCAGAAATGGACCATTTTGGACCATTAAAAAATAGGCTAATACGTCTTTTGAGCAACAGACAAATGTTCGGGTATGGCATTAGAAGGACTTGAAATGTGGAATCTGTGTCAAAAAAAAAAACATAGAGCACAACTGACTAGTCATCAGTATTGCCTGTGATCTTCTGGTAGCTGACCTTTTCCCATTAATGACTTCCCATGCCTTGTTCTACACTGTATGGAGACATCCATTTTGGTAGAGGCAGGGCTTTGCATTCGCATGCAAGAGCTGTCATGATATTGACCCATGATGACTGGTGATCTTATAACTGGTGGGGAAAAATTTAAGGAGTGGCAGTAAAGGTACATAGAGCACAGATCCAAAGAATAAATGAAGCCGAAGCAAGGAGATCCTTGCACACGTACAGTTTTCTCTCCAGCAAGAAAAACAGTAAGCAGCATAGTAGTAAGATCTCCCTCCAAATCTTGTGAGATTGCCTTAGATCTCACACTGCAGATATGAGGCTCTAGACACAGGAGGAATTCAGGATTTTTTTTCAGAATGCTGCTAACCAAAATTTACATTTCTAGATGTTTCCTATAAGATGGCAAACATTTACTTTAAGTGCTAATAGGATGTCCTCCCAGTTTCTGATATTAGGATGTTGGGAGTTTGTGAAAGCATCATAAAACAATGTTTAATAAACAAGGTTAGTGGTTAGGTAGCAATACCACAGCTGCAACAAATAGAACTGGTATAATATAAATCATCAAACATTTGCGTAGCATGAGATACCATGATAAGCCAAAGCAAAATGTATGATTTGTTTTGTATATTACCAAGGCACATCCTGCATTGCCATATTGATATTATTTAGATTTTGGGAAGTGCTTTTTTGGCAGTGAAATGCACAGCTAGCACATTTATCTCATCACTCGAGGTGTTTGTTGTGTCATATTACAGTATATTGCAGTACTATGATTATATGTGTGTGAGAACGCACATGTGTAATAGAAAGTTTATTGAGTGCTGGTCTACGTTTTTGCAGAAATATCTTCTTCAACAAATAGTAAGTCTTTAATAACATACTATGGGGTGTATTTATAAACAATTCACAGAGCCATTCATGAACTTATTTTATGTGTGATTATGAGCAAAAAGCACATTTTTTTAGGATTTTTTTCCAGATCAAAAGGTAATATAAAGAAAATAATGCATTATGGCCACAAGATAGAGCTGAGAAGCATAACAAATAAATACTTCTATCCTATGCTCTTCAGCTCTATCTAGTGGCCATAATATAGTATTTTCATAATATTATATTCGACTTTCAAAGAAGATATTCTAATAACATTCATTTTTACATGCACATAGAATGAATGTTCATTGATTCTGACTAGATGAATGGCTTTTACAAATAGTTTATAAATACACCCCAATGCATTAGGTGATTGATGTTTCAAGGGAGGAAGAGTAATATGAGGGAAGTTTTGTTCCTTTCTGTATTGCCTTATAATTTTTTTTTTTTTAAATCACTCACCCCAAAATTTGTTGCAGCAAATCTATCTGATGCAGAAACATTAGTTGATACAGTGGTATGCGCATAGAATGCATTTATATTTGCCAGCAAAGTACTCATGACGGCAGGGACACCTGGGCACATGTATTTCGAAGACAGACAAGAAAAGTGCCTAGAAAAGATACAGAACAATAAACAGTTTCTTAAATCATCTGGCTACTTTAGTATCTTTAATATCAGACAAGGTAACATCGAGGCATTGGGATTTACATCTATACTGTACAGTGAACGTGCTTTATCTAATAAAGTTAACACTGTTGAAAATTATCATTGAAACTTATAGTGCCTGATCTGACAAAACTTTTTTTTTTTTTGTATAGAGGGGGAAAAAAGATTAGACCTGCTCTTAAATTACCCTGCAATCTCTGGCTCTATTAGAAGTATTGTTCCCTCACTTACTGTCCAGCTGATAAAAGTTCTATCAGACGGATAGTAAGAACAAAGGCATCAATAAAAATCTGACAAAAATCTGCCTTACTTTACTAAATAAAAATCATTTTAATTTCTGACTGCATTTCTGTTGCCCTCACTTCCTATATATTTCGAAATATGTGGTCAACTCGACAGGAATTGGAGTAAATCTATGTAACAGAGCCCCAGATATCAGTAAAAACATCATAGGAGTTTTAATTATTACCTACTCTGCTACTACCTATACAAACTTAAAAAAAAAACGTTTTGTCCGGAAATACACTTGAAAAGCAGTGGATCCGTATGGCTCTTTTTTTTTCTTTGCTAACTTATTTCCTTTTGTAAAACAAGTGTAAATGTTTTGTTGATGGGTTAAAAACATATTTATCCCCAATGCGTCCTTCCTCCAGGTATCTTTTATTATGGTTGTCATAGAGCATGTGTTCTATAAATTATTTTGTATCGTATTTGTAAAATGCTGCTGATGTTTGCAGACGCTTCTGCCATCTATTGTTGGTTACTAGGCTGGGGGATGGGGTTGTGTGGCCTAAACATTGGAAAAGATCTGTTCTCCTCACAAGGGGATTTTCTGTGGGGGTGTCAAGGGCTGTGTTGATGCTAAGGAGGCATTATTTGTGTAGATTGTTTTTGAGTCCTGGGTACCAGAGAATTGGTGAATGCTCTTTTTTGATCATCAGCTTAGAGTTTGTAAATACATATGAATATTTGGGCCTGGAATATCTCCCATTTCATGATCCCTTACAATGGCCCACACTGATATATAGGGGGTTATTCATTACATAGTTACATAGTTAGTAAGGTTGAATAAAGACCAAGGTCCATCGAGTCCAACCTATGTATAATGGGTGAAGCGTTTGAAGAAGGCAGGAGAAGTGAACATTCTAGGCCATAATAGCCGATTTGGAAAAATTCTCCAATTCACATAACTTTCCAGTTCAGCTATGTTGTCCTAGATTGTTCACTTCTCCTGCCTTATCCTTTTGTGAATAACCCACAGAGTGTTGAACATGATTTAAAGGAAACGTTTACTGAGCATATATGGCTGTAATGCTGATCCAATAGCTTCAATGCTGCCTGACTCACTTTGACCTATGTAGCTACATGCTTGTTATGGGTCAGTGACTCAGTATGTTTTTTTTTTCAAACAAATTTTATTAGAATTTTGTGATACAAACACAAAAGCACTGTCTGCGCATCTGCATGTCGATAGCGCACGCTTTAACACAGGTGACATCAAGAACAGACACGTACAAGCCTCAATCGCAGGCCATATTGCAGAAAACAGTAACAAGAAAATAAAATAAAAACAAAATAACAATGTTCTATGCAGTTTAACATCAATAAATTGCATCTATGATAGGTGTCTCGACACAGATTTTTATGCAATCGACCTAGTGCCATATAGTAAATAGTATGAATACAAATGACTCAACTATTCCTGTTATAGGGCCAGTTTCCCCAGGGTGTTCGACATGTGACCCGTTAGATACCATTTTGTGTAACTGAATGGTTTAACAATTTGACTAATTTCAGCTGTCGTGAATCAGGAACAATTTCCATCTGCGGAAGAAAGATTTAGCAGACGTATCAGCATGTGATTCTGCGTCTATTCTTTCCCTACCAAAGAGAAGTTTGAGATTGGTGGATTTGAGTGGTGAACGTGGAGGCAAGGGAGATTTGGAGGGAGACCCAGTATTTGTAGCATCCAGCTGATTAAGGAATTGTAGTGCTTCATCCGGATCCCGGCATGAGTAGTTGCGACCTTCAGCCGTGGTAAGATGCAGGACGGCCGGATAGGCCAGTGTGAATTTTTCAGTGAGCATACCTCACTGAAAGCTTTCCTCTGTTTCGCCACTTCGACCGAGTAATCTGCGAATAGTAGTATTTTATTCCCATCAATTTGAAGAGATTTAGCAGCTCTATATTTTTGTAGGATCTGGAGCTTGTCGGCGTAGTTAAGGTACCTGACGATAACCGGTCTCGGTGCCTTGGCGTTGTCTTTTGGCTGCCCCAGGCGGTGAGCCCTCTCCGCTGTGCAGGCTGCAGAGACCCCTAGCAACGCCGGGATAGTGGATGAGCAATTCGTTCGGCTTGTATGACTCAGGAAGACCCACTAACCTCAGGTTGTTGCGGCGAGAACGATTTTCAAGGTCTTCTATCTTATCTTGCATCGCCCGTGAGGTAGTGTCACACATAATAAGCTTCGATTGAGCTTCAAGCAAGTCGTCCTCCAGTGAGGAAATGCGGTGTTCCGCTTCTTTAAGTGCTCGTGCCTGTGCTGACAGATCCTTCCTGATTTGGCCCATGCTGTGCTGAATGGCTGTCTCCACCGCCTCAGTGATAGTCGGTTTCAGTAATTTGGCTACCGCAGCTGCTATTTTGGCATGTGTGCTGTCCTCATCCAGGCCCTGCACCTCAGAGGCCGGAGACACGCTTCTTTGTGGGGAAGTATGTGGGGCCGCCGCCATCTTGGCTACACGTGATTCCTGAGTGAGCGCCCGAGACCGATTAAGTGATCGGGATCTCGATCTGGATCGTGCAGGCGCCAGGAATCGGTCCATCCCCGGGCACCGGACACTCTGCTGGTTCAGCAGAGTACCTGTCACGAGGTGGGTAGCCGTTTTTTAATGCAATTAGGATGCCGTAACGGGAGCGCCGTCTCCCTGCTGCCACTCACATGGGTGCCGGAACCGGAAGTCGACTCAGTATGTTTTGAGGCCAGAGACAGCCAGGCAACTAGATATTTCAAAAGAAGGTCAGCACTGGTACAGTCCCCATTTTCTTCAGTGTGTATTTCCTTTAAACAGGGGATTTGAGTCCTTTTCTCATTTGAATGTGTGAAGGCACGGAAATCTGTGTAAATCTGTGGAAGTTTGGAGGGCATATGATTTCATTTTTGAGTGGGAATCTTTATTTACTTCGATATGAGCCATTTCTATAATGGTTAAATAAGAAAATGGCTTATTTTAGGATGTAGAAGAGGGGGTTGCATTATATCTATTTTCTGTGAACTTATCTGCCTTTTACAGATGCCCATAAGCACTGTGCCAACCTCTCTGATTAATGAAGACTTTCTCCTTGTTTATCTATTTCTTGTTATGAATGAGAACATCACAAAATCAACCAGGTAAACTTACCTGGTATATCACTTTTGTTTTCTACTAAATATTAATTTACATCTTTTTTTCAAAGAGAAAAATTATTTCTCCCTCCATTGCAGCGATGCTTAATTTTGGTTACAATTTGACGTTGTTGTCATATGCATCATCCTGTTAGCTAGCTGTGGAATCCATACACTGTTATGATCTTATCTGGTCTATAACAAACAATGCTGGGAAAATTGTTTGACAACAGGATGCTTCTGTGGCCTAAAGCTACACTGAATACTGCCTCCAGTAATTGTCAGACAAACAATGTTGGCAATCTTTTTTTTTTCTTGTATAAAATCATGTATCTTCTAAAGCATTTTAATATGATGAATGTACTTCTATCCTCCTGAGTTGTAAGCAAGTGAATCTTTTAATACTTGGGAGTACAATAAGCAGAGAAGCCGCAGTGTCATTTTTCAGGTGTTTATGAGGATTTGGCTGCTCTTGGGTTTAAATGGGTAGCAAAAGAGCTGTGTTACTGAGTCACAGTTCATTAGTGTTATTCCAGAGGTGGTAAATCATAGCAACCCATTCTTACAAAAAAACACAGATTATGAATGAACATCAGTTGATAACTCCATAACATCTCCCCTACCAGCAAGGAATATTCAACTCTCTATGCTCCCTTACTGCCTCCTAATTTCTTTGGAGCCTTAATTATGTCTCTCCATCTGAGCAGGTCTCCTGAGTATGGGGGACCATGTGGGCCCGGCCTGACCTGAATACTGTCATGTGTGTGTTTGTTTTGGTGGGGTTGTGTGTTTGGGGGATTAGGGACGAGACCAGTGACATCATGCATTCATGTAAGCTGAATGCAAAAAAGGGCAAAATGATCATATCTCTATAAACAGACAATCCATCAAAAGGATATCTTTTCAACAGGAACCAATAAACGTGGACAGAGGTTCTAGCCTTCCTTCACTTGCCAAAGTTTATTAAGGCAGTTGTCCTTACTGCATTGATAAATTGACCCTCCATGGCCCTCAAACAGTGTATAAGAGGTTTATGGCAAACACTGTCCCTCAGTTTTGAATAATGTTGGTGTGCTGATGATGCTACCACTTTATATTGTCTGTAAGGGAGCTTTCCCATGACGTCTTGGAAACAATGCTGCCAAAAGGACAGAAAGTGAGCGCAAATCTACCTAATGCATCAACAATATCAACAGCAAGCTGAAAAGAACATTCACTTCCATACTCTGTTCCCCCAAAACTGTTCTTTGGCGGTTGGTGTGCTAAATGGGTAAGCCTGCCAAATTCTCAAGGTTAAGCCTAGTCTTGTAATAGGACTAAAAAGCAGTGATCTAATCATCAACTTTAGCATGAGATTTCTAGGCGCATCTGATCAAAAACAGTGTATAGAATGCCCGGGGGTTCCATGGTTACAAGGCAGCAACATTTGAATGTTTTGAAAATTAAGAAAAATATAAGCGGTTTACAGCAGTTTATAAAAGAAAATCAACTGTTTGCAAAATGGCTTGTGTAGCAGTTCCACATGATGTGTGTGTATAGATATAGATATATATATATATATATACACCCACACACAAAAAAGTGGAGATATCCTTTAGGGAGATTGCTACATAAGTGCTGACTGCTGAATGAGAAAACCTTGACTGTCTAGTATTCTGACTCCAACAAATGAATAGATCTTTGATTATCTAGCATTCTGTCTGTAACAACTTAATAGACCCAAGTGTAGAAGCAAAGAGGCTATATTCACTGAATAGAAGTTACAAACTTCTGTATATATTGTTCTTTATTTGAAGTTTGTACTGTATATCAGTTCTTTGCTTGTTATTAATGGAGCTCATATACTTACGTCATAGCTTGATAAATAGACTCTATTCCATAGCGCATTGCAAATTCATCTACTATTTCTTGTTCAGAGTCGTCAAAGTAAACCTTCCAGGCTTCATCTCCTTTTACTTCAGGGATCTTGACACTACCATTATTCTGAACTTCTGTCAAGTAGTGGAATAAGTTCTGTCGGAATAATATGTTTTATATTGTTAGAGACACCTAGACTCAGGATAGTGCCAGCTTGGTACATATGTCCGAAACTGTTCAGTCATTTCATTTCAATGCACAGAACTGAGGTAAATGGAAAGGGATGTGCTTACTGAGAAAAAACATAATTTACTGCATCAATAGAAAAGCAACATGTGCCTAGATAAATGTGATATGTTCTGTGGAAATGGAGAAAAAAACTGCTAGCTCACCAGTTCAAAGATAAAACTTTTCTACTCTACCTGCTGGGACCAGATAGACTTACTGTAGTCATCCCAGTCAAATCTAACATTTATTTGAATGAGTTATGAATCAAAATAGAGCCTTTTATATAACTGTATACTGAAAAGAGAAACATTGTTCAGAAACCTACTGCATCGCCAAATAAATCTTAGCATTCAACAGTATAGCATAGCCAAACTAATGAATAATAAAACATTTTCTGGGTTGATAGATATTCAACACATTAAAAATGTATATTGTTCTTATAAATATTACTGTGTAAACTCTGTAACAGTCACATTTACATGATCAGGAATGGTATAACAAAATAGAAAGTATGCAACGAAAAAGACAAAAGTATAATAAAGATTGACCACTACCAATTATGTTTTTCATGTACCAGTCTAGCAGAAAACATACAAAATCAATACTCTTTTGCATATCCTTTACAACATTTGAGCATGCATGTTTCTATAACCTTTATACTCCTAGGTTTGTCTCTTGTCTTTCTCATTACTGTGTGGTTAAATCACACCAAACCTTGTCATGCATCACTTAATAGGAGGAAGACCAGTCTGTGATGCTGAGTGAAAATAACTAATGTATACCAGATTACTGGTTCCAGTGCAATTTTCCTGTTATGTCCAAAAATTACTGACCTTCTTGCTTCTGTGAATGTAGTCAGAGTGACCCATTTGTGCAATACATTTACAGTGGGCTTGTACTATCAGAATATATGACATGAAGTACACATACACATTTGTTTCCAGTATGTATGTAGTGCTCGTATATTATGCAGCACTATACTGAGTACATAAGTCCATTAACATCAAATAGAAAATAACCTTATAAAGCGATTTTTTTATCTAGAAACTATTAGGGCTTACACATTTAATTAGCTCATATTTATTATAACTGTACCTAAACAGACTGCCAGCAAAGTGCGGGAAACTTCTGCCCTCAATTTTATGCAACTGATGCCACAGTTGAAAGATGCCTAACAAAAAATAATTAGTAACAATAATGAATGTGGTTTTACAATTTAAGTAAACTGGGGAAACTTGGATGGAATGCTATTGGTGCCACTTAACTCAACCTGTCAGCACATCCTTAAAGTGGACCTAAAGACAAATAGGCACAGTCCTATGAGAGGTCCCACAATGTAACCAAAAATGCAACAGGCAGAACAGTGCAAAAGTCTTACATTATCAAGTTCATAGAAAAAAAGAATCACATAAAGTCTTCCTACAAACAGTTTCAGAGAGCCCTCTTTCCTTGGGAGATTGAGGTCATTCACCTTCCTTTCTCCAAATTGTCTAACCCTCCTTCTCAGCTTCAAAGATCACAATCCTTATTCATTATAAAAAACTGTATACACTGATGTATGTGAAAAGTTTAAATCATCCAGGTCATGGTATATCTGTAAAAGAAATCAAGGCAACTGGGCTTGCTGTATTTTTCTTAAAGATATTTAGCTGGTCATCCGACTATCTTTCTCAATGTAGAATGACGTGCACAAAATGCATTTGCATAATTGGAGCTAGCAGGTGTTATTTACCAGAGAGAGGTGTGTGTGGCTGACAATAGATGCCTTACCCCCCCCCCCCCCACCTCTATTCAAGCTTGACTACTCCATTTTTACATACACGGCCTGTTTCACACCTCTTTTGAACCAGTCCTCCTCCCTGTCTAGGATGTGTACTTGTGTACTTGACTGCCTTCAAAGGAGTAACCTTTTTCCTTTAGATGTAGGTACACTGCTGAATCCTGACCAGAGGGTTTGGCTCTTCTATGCTGTGCCATACGCTGGTGCAACTTCTGTTTTGTTTCATTGACATACAATTCTCAGCACTCCTCAATGCACTGCTGTGCACAATGTTGTTCATCATGTGTTTAGGAGTTGGGTCTTTTGGGTGAACCAGTTGTTGCCTCAGCATGTTTCTGGGTTTAAAGCAGACAGTGATGTGATGACTAATAAAAATCCATCTAGGTTTTTCAGACACCCCAGCTACTTGTTGGATGACCATATTCTTTTGTTTTGTGATGCATTTCACCCTCACTGGTAGTCTTGGAGAATTTTTGTATAAGTCATTCTGAATTGAGAAAGCTAGTCGGATGACCGGCGAACGTCTTCAAGAAAAATACAGCAAGTCCAGTTGCCTTGTTTTATTTTTTAGATGCATACCCTGATCTATCCTTTCAATTTTTTTTCCTCTAAGTTTGATTTACTAAAATACATGCACATAATCTAACACAAAGGACTTAGTATGGTGTCAGTATTGATGAGCATAGTGGTTCAAAAGTGTTTTCTCAGATATTACAACTAGGGATGTCCCGATACCGATGCTAGCATCGGAATCGGGCCCGATACAGGGCATTTTGACAAGTACTTGTACTTGTCAAAATGCCCCGATGCCTAGCGCCGAAGCTTGCGCTGTTTTTTTAATTTTTTTTTACCGTCCGTGGGGTCTTTTTTACCGTCCTCTGGGCAGGCTGGAGGAGCATCACGTCACTGCTGTGGGTGGCGCTCCAGGTGGGGTCCTAATGTGGTTGGCCAGCGACTGCCCAGAGGACTCCGCCTGTAGCTCCGCACACAACAGTGACGCGGCGCTCAGCGCCGCCGACGTCCGTGGGTTCCCTTTTACCATCCTCTGGGCAGGCTGGAGGAGCGTTGCGTCACTGCTGTGGGCGGCGCTCCAGGTGGGGTCCTAATGAGGTTGGCCAGCGACTGCACAGATGACTCCGCCTGTAGCTCCGCACACAACAGTGACGCGGCGCTCAGCGCCGCCGACGTCCTCGAAAAGGAAAAAGAAAGCATTCGGCACCTCGTGAGGCACCTCCATTGAACAGGCAAGAGTGAGTAAGGGCCTGTGCTGGGATGGCAAAGAAGACAGTCAGTAGTTGCTCACGATAAGGGGTCCTCACTGTCCCTATGTGTATGCACCATGGGTATCAGTACCGTCAAGCACCCAGGGCACATGCCCACATCCCTGGGTGCTCAGGCTGCTTCCACCCACTGTTGATCTGTGGAAGTGGGTACAGAGGAGAGCTGGAGGGGGGGGGGGCAGAAGTGCTGAGATGTGGACGGGGATTTAGAGATGAGCTGTGGCTGGGTGGTGAAGAGGTGAGGTGTGAAAGGTAAGCTGTGGCGAGGGGGAGCAGAGTTTAGCTGTGGACAGGGGGTATAGTGGTAAGCTGTGAATGAGGCGGCAAAGGTGAGCTCTGAATGAGGGTTACAGAGTTTAGCTGTGGACATGGAGTTCAGATGTGAGTCAGATGGTTTTTAAAAAAAATTTCACCTGTCCCTTTAAGAAAAAGTATTGGTAGTTGGTATAGGCAAGTACATGAGGGCCAGTACTTGTACTTGGTCTTAAAAAAGTGGCATCGGGACATCCATAATTACAACCATATTATAATTATGTTTTCCTGTATAGTTGCCTCTTCTGGTCTCTGCACTTCCAACAAATTAATCATTTCACATAACCTTTAAAAGTTCACTTTTTTGCCTGCAAGACCATGTAAAAATAGAGAAAAGGCTAGGAAAGGTGACTGTACAGTCACTGTAGTCAGACACTATAAAACAATCAAAATAGCTAAGAAAATAACTTTCTGGTACTTCACTCATAATTATTTACAACCTTCTCACTAATTTTATCTTGATTAGGCAGACTGGGAAATATATGAAACAGAGTGATCCTGGTTTGCAGAGTTGTATGAAGGATTGTTTTCAATGAAGCTAAGAAAGATGACAGAACAGTGTGAAGAAGCCGGATGACATCAATTTCCTAAGTTGCATCTGGAAAGCAGTGACCTGCTATAGATGCTTGTGACCATGAAATGCTGGGGATCTTATGTTTTATATATTTCTTCACATTCATTTCTGCATGATTTGGCACATTTTAGTGTACCTATGCTTGTAGGATGACTCATGTGACTGTGCATGCTTACTATAGGACGTCAGGGACACTTTAAGCATTTGGTTGCTATTTAGAAATGGGTGTCGCAATGGGATTGATGTACTAAAGGTAGATAGGCTGTTCACTTAACAAGGGAATGTTCCCTTAGCTTAGTGAATGAGGTGAAGCTCTGCTGACTTTCATAATCTAATCATGTTCAAGCAAAAATACGTTTTTTTTAATTTTCCTTGCATATCATTGGGTATTGTTTGCAAAGTGAATTTTCACCACAACCTGATTTGCCTTTAGTAAATCAACCACAATGGTTTGTGGCCCATTCTCTTGAAACACCAACCTGATGTGGAAAGGAATACAGGCACCTATTGAAAATAAAGGAAGGCACACACTCGCCAGCTACCCACCTTTTTTCCTTAAGAATAACAGTTGATGAACTAAGACTGGATAGGCATACTGAAACGTATCCACTCTATTAGGAACATCCACTTGCTTGGAAATGCCTTTTTCATGACACCACAACATCTGCCTATACTTATAATCAGTAATTCCGCACCTTCTTGATGCTGCCAAGGGTCTCATCTCTAAACATTGGTGATCTGCCAAACCTCTCCTGATTATGGAATGACTCCATACACTTGTCTATATATGTATTATGGAGGAACTGACACACACCTATAGAGGTGGAATATGGGCATGATGGCTAGAGTTTAAAGGCTCTTCCACTTATGCGAAACACATCAGCCCCAGGCCAGAAATATGACTCATTCATTATCTTGTCCACAGGGTCATATGAAGTCTTTGTATGGATGGAGACTGGTCTGTCTTCATGCTTTTGCATACTTTGTACACATAGGCCCCAACTTTTGATAATATTGATATGTCTGATGTTCTCTTTCGTTTCTTACATGTTTGATATATAGCCTTTGTTTAGAGTTACTAATATCTTAAATTGACTACAAACAATCCTCCTTTTCTATACCTACTGTGTATAATTGTCTGTAGGGTCTATTCACTAAGCTGCTGAAGGATCTAGCCGTAGCTTCGGCTATTCCTTCGGCTAGCTTTGGCCCCAGGAGAACCGAAGGGCTGCTGTACAGGCTATACAATATAGCGCGTCCAGCTGCCGAAGTCGGCCGAGCGGCTCAGTCGAGCCGAAGGCATATGATTCGGCTCGACTGAGCCGAGGTGAAAGCCGAAGCTGGCCGAACGGCCGGCCGACAGCCTGCTTCTGTCATCGCACGGCTGGCTCCGGCCACTTGCAGAGAGATTAGCATCCCTGGTTACCAGGGACGCTGATCTCCAGATAGCCCAGCTCTCCCGGACGCTCCGGCAGTCTCCCGCTATTAGATAGCGGCTCCCGGCCGCACGGGAGAGAAACACTTTCTCCGGAAAGTTTTACTCTGCTCGCTCGAGCAGAGTAAACTTTTCCCTGCTCTGTTGTCTTTTTTTTTCTTCTGACATCAGAGGCGTTGGCTGCCATCAGAATAAAAACAAAAACAAAAAAAACAACAGCATAGGAATGCATTGCTACATTCCTATTGGCTATTTCAATTTGCAATAGCAGACTAGCTATTGCACGTGCCCACTGCTGCTATCAATCAGCTGACCGGACTTGAAGTTCTCCATCAGGTCCCCTCTAGTGATTGACAGCAGCAGAGGGCGGGTGCAATAGCTAGTTTGCTATTGGCTATTGCCAAGTGAAATAGCCAATAGGAATCTAGCAATGCATTCCTATGGTGTTGTTTTTTTGTTTTTTTATTATTCTGATGGCAGCAGAACCGCCCTGCCAATAGAAAACATTTGGGCGGAGCTGTCACTGCTAGCTCCGCCCAACCGTTTTCTATTTTATTTTTTCTACTTTTTAACCTGTTTTTCTATTCTGCTCGGTACCACAGAGGTACCGAGCAGAATAGCCGAGCCGAATGCCGCTATTCACTCACTGCTGTTCGGCATCTTTGAGAATAGGCCGAACAGCAGCGAGTAGCCTGCCGGAGGTTCAGCTTAGCCGATCCAAATGTTGGATCGGCTGAGTCGAACTCCGTCTGCACTTCGTGTCGGCCGAACAGGCTGAGCCGTTTTGGCCGACCCGAAGGCAGCCGAAGCTGCCCGATGTACGGCTGATTTCAGCCGATATACGGCTGGAATCAGCTGTACAAGCCTGAAGTGAATAGCCGAACAGCGTTCAGCTCACTTCGCTTCGGGTCGGTTAGTCACTCGGCTGCCTATGGCAGCTTAGTGAATAGACCCGTGTGTCTTTCCCCACCATAAGTTCTTTGTCTTGACAATACCATTCCATATTATATTTTTATGGCTCAATGGATTGCCGTTTGCGAAAAGTGTAAACCTACATGTGTGTATTTTCTTTATTCCAAAAATCAATAAAAAAAAAAATTTATGAACTGGGTACTACTTATTAGCCAGCTCAATTAATTATATTCATAAACATCTGCTGTGTTAATTGGTTAGATATAGGCCAGATTAATGTGAAATGCAGTGTTCATCTGTTCTCAGTACTACATTGGCCATCTCCTTCATAAAGAGGATAGACTGAAGTAATTTCCTATTTTTCATTAAAGCATTGACTAGACATTAGCTGCTCACATCAATCCACTTGCTCTCTTAGACATCAGCCTTTCTAGCACCTAGCAGAAATGCCAGCCAGGGCCTCAAACTTACCTCGTGCAAACACGTGTACTGTATATGGTATGGAGGCACATTCTCTTCTCCCTTAATTTCAACATGGATCTTCAATCTGATTGCACCAGACACTGCCGATTTATCTGTCCTTTTTTCTGAAAAAAAGGTAAAAAATTGGTAAGAAATAATTGCTTTTTAACAGTAGCTATATCATTTCTATTGATATTTATGGGTTGCAGACAGATATCATGTTCTAGAATTCTATCCACTTTGATTTAATGTTCTATCACAAAAAAAAATCTAATTGTCATTTATAGTGAATATATGGCAATGGTAGTGAAACTGATAATTCACTCTTTTTTATTCCCTATTAAACAGTTACTTATAACTTGCATTGCATGTTTTCATATATTGTATTAGTTCCTGGTAAAACAGGGAAAAAATAAAAGCAATCTGGAGAAATCAATTACCATATAGCACTCTGCAGTTTACATATCACTTTTTACTGGTGTCATTTAAATACCAAATACAATGTATTGAGTTGATTGACTTTTCAAATTACCTTTTTAATACAATTTGCCTGAAGCTACAGTGACAAAGGCCTTCTATTTTATTTAATACTACATGAAATGTTGAGTCTTCACAACCACAAATATAAACTCTGGGCAAAATTTTTATTAACCCTTGCAGTGGGGCAAACCCCACACTGCAAGGGTTAAGTGCTCCTTTTTGCTAAAAAAGATATACTCAACTGAATTGTGGAGCCAGCTTGCTCTTAGACCGGTCCTTGGAGCCTCTCTCCCCGTCCGCTGCAGCAGTCTAAGGTCCTGTAAGTCATCACGTTCTATACACAGTGCATAGATGCAAGGACGCTGATGAACATTCCAATGTTGTGGCGCAAGAGGAGACAGGCTTCACAGACCGGAAAAGCAGGGAGCCTACAAGTTGTTTGAGTGGGTGTAACACATTTTTTTTTGCACCTAGACAAAAATGAGTAGTTAACTATTGCAGTGCAGGGGTAGCCCCACTTCCAGGGGTTAATACGAGTTTTGCCCGCATCTCTTATATATGCAAAAAACGTACAAATATATTACAGTGTTAAAAAATGCCTAACAAGTTTACCATGCTGCATTGATGTTTTAGAAATAATACATTTCAGTTATTTTAGTCAAGCGGTGCAAAGTGCACGGAATACGAGCAAACCGTATTTAACTCATATCCAATTAGAATATTATACTTACTCTTTTACAGTAAACCTTTAAAAACTCAATCATTGCTCAGAACAAGATGTAAGGAAATACATAAATGTGCCTTTACCCTGTACATGTATTGAGAGGCCTTTAGTGTCCACCCCCTCCAACCAGTCTAATTGATCCAGGATCAGTTGTGCCCTCATCACCACCTGCACTTACACCTGTCCCTTATTGTATGTATTTGATGAAAGACTCAGACATGTGCCCTGTTTTAACCTATAGCTGATCAAAGGTTTTCTTCCTATATTGCACTGACAGTAAAAGTACCCTCAGTGTTATAAAGTTCACCCAACTTCAATTGCCACTGGGATGGTTGGTATCCTATCATAAGATTTTTCTATATGCTGTAATGTTTTCCAAGCCCTGAGTGAATATAGTCTGGTGCAAATGCACTGCTTTCATTCACTACACCTCAGAGCAGCTCTATATCCTCTGCTGCCAGTGGTCACCATCCCACTTCTGAGTTGAATGATGCCCAGTGTCTGACCATTTACTGTGAACTCAGCAGTCATGGACAAAGTTCCCGAGTCATCACACAACCTGGGCTAACAATGTACTGATGCATAGAATGGTTCTCATGCAGCACAATGTTGCAACATGTGAACGTCATTCTAGGCTGCATTGAAGCACATTCACAGCCCAACCATGGACAGGGAGAGGTATGACAGCACTCGTCACATGACTGCATAGAAGATACTTCGAAATAAAGTATGCATGCTTTAATTTTTGAAAAGTTAGGTGCAGGGAGGAGGAGGAGGAAAATTGACTGGAAGGATTTTAGGGGAGCCGAAGTTGGGCTTTAACACTAGCTCTCAAAGTCAGAACTCATAACCTGCATACTTTTTTTAGTGACTTAAAAAGTACAGAAATCATCAAATCATCATTTAAGAACTAATATTTTCAGGGGAGGCATACTTTCTCAATAGAAGTGTTTTTTTTTTTTTTAATGTACTACTCATTAAAACTTTCAGCTCTGCTCTTAATATTTGTAACATTACCACTACCATGGTGAACTTCAAACTTGGATCCCTGCTTCCACCATCGTTTACCATTTGGCCTTGTCTTTTGCCAGGTTAATGTTTGTTTTATGTCATGGTGGGTGGATGTGATTCACCCACTATGTGCAATTTGGCAATACAAATTTGAGTTTTCTCTTTAATATTTCATTCAACAGACAAGGTTTTGCTGAGAACAGACAAGACTTGCATTTGTAGCAGATCTTTTTTGTTTTTGAAGGGAGACTGTCTCCATAAACTTTTTTTGGTCTTGAGGTCAACATTGTTCTTCAGGTTTTTATTACCTCATATTGAAAGTTGGTTATTTGCTCTAGTCTTTCATTTCCAAGCATTAGCTTTACTTGTTGTTGTTACTTTGTTAGTTGCACCCATGCTTTTGTCATTTGAGTGTTTATTGTGATGTAGACTTCCTTGCCCTTTTAGACTATTTAATTAAGAAATCAGTTAAGGTCTACCTCAGGTTCTGCAAGTGAAACTGTATCATCTGTATAGCTGCTTTCAGTGTATGATCTTGCAGTCATACGCTGGAATTCCAACACCTTCGCAAATACATTGAAAAGCTTTATCTAAATAGGTAACTAACAGTGGTGGAAACAGAGCACATCCTTGCCACACACCTCTTTCTACAATTATTGTGCATTCACGTTTGGTATACATCTTCATATAGCCTTTCTGTATGTTATAGATGGTGGCTATGAGACTACTATCTTTTTCACATGAAACCCTTTTCGAAAGTGTTTATATGTGGGCGTCATGCTTGACTCAAATGCCTTGACAACCTCAATGAAGCATAGATATGTTTCCATTGCTTGTTGATCTGATTTGCTAGCAGGGTATTCAGTGAGGTGATGCTCTCGATGGATCCAACATTTGGTCAAAAACAATATTGCAATTGGTTGGTTTTGTCTCAGAGTTTTGAACATAATGTGGTTGTAGATTACTTTTGATAAAATCTTCTGCTCATGTGGTATCAGGACTTTTGTCAGATGCTCTTCACATTTTGTGGTTTAATTTTACTACAAAAATAGTCTGTACTGTAGCCATTCTCATGGAATTTCCTCACCGTGGTAAATGCCTCTTCGATTTGACCAAACTCTTCTTTGTTACATTAATTATTAATATTACCATGCCAACTGATTTTAATTAAAGCAAAATGCAAATACAAGTAGACACAGTGTATCAAAATTAAACTGAACCTATCCTGTCCATGTAATGTAGTGTCAACTATACAAGCTTAGTGGGAATCTGTAAATAATGAAACTTGTGGATGAGCAGTGTCAGCTTCCAATCAGTCACAGACTTGAAATAGACTTGTCTCCTGTAGCATAAGCTTATGTAAATGAAGCAGCTTTGTCTCAAATCACACAATGTTCAAAGTCTGAGCAGACAGGTAAAAGAATGCAAACATCAGATGTCAGATTTGGTGTCTGATGGTTAGTAAGCAATTAGTTCTGAATAAGTGACAGGTCAGATGCAGAGAAGATGAAAATTAAAATATGCAGATGAGTAATGAGACACCTGTTAAGTTTCACTTAATATTTTATTGCACTTTTTTCAGAAGTGACTATGTGAGAGCAATATATTAAGTAGCACACCCACAATAAAATCAAGTGATGAGTAAATTAGGTCTTAGTATTATGGCAAACCCCTAACATAAATGACTCTTTGCATCACCTGATGTGACAAATAAACCTAAACATAGAATAGAATACCGAATAATGTGGATTGCAGTAAAAGCAATAAAAACTGTAGACCAAGTTACAAATCTGCTTTACCACCAACACATTAAAAGCTTTGATTGTAAACGTTAAGCATGTCTTATCAACCAGCCCACTATTCACTGTTAAGTGGGTGTACTTCACAAAAGTTATACAGTACTCGACTCCTATAATTGTACACCTCGGTATCCTTGGCCATGATTCTCACATCTAATATAATCTTAGTAGATTTAAGCTTTACCATCTAATTTATATAGTAATTATTAATATTTTTAACTCTTTAGCTTTTATTAAACTTATGGTAATCCTGCCATGATAGCCCTTTTCAGGTGTGAAATGGGGTGAAGAGTAGTGTCTCTTCCAACTGCTCTCCTGCATTGTCACCCTCCATACCTGCTCCTGATGGAAACTATAAGGACCAAGTCACACTTTTGATTCTGGTTGGGGTGTGTTAAGGCATGTTACTTCACCTGTTAATGTGGGTTGTATTAAGACAATCCATTCATCGATTAATTAATAATGAATAAACTATCAAAGCTCCACATATTTTAAGAAATGTACATGGTCCTTTTTTAATGATGTAGTGCACCACAACGCATGCTATGGCTCCACACTGTGGAGCATCATGGGTTACACACTCTACTGTACAGTGTGTTGGGATGCTTTTCTCCTATTGTGTGTTGCCAGGCATATTGTCATACATTGATGCAATGCACAAGTGCAAATAGGCCATTGATAATTATGCATACTTTCATAATGCAGGCATAGTTCACCATGCCATTATCAGAAAGTCGACACTGGACAATGACAACTGCTGCTAAAGTGCATAAATACAGAAATGGTTGCAAAGAGGCTTGCTTTATCTGTTGTCATATGAAACTACTATTAGCTACTGTCGTACCTCCTATTTATCATAATTTTTCTCCTAACTCTCTAATGTTAACTGTCCTTTCATATTCCTGTTACTCAATTCTCTCCCTTTCCATGCCTGTGTTCAGCCTTACTCCCACCCCTCATTGTGTCCCTCCCCACCAACCTCTTCATATTCCCATATACTGTACCTCCATTGTGTAATTATGATTTTAACTCCACCCAAGAATTTCAAATTTTTATACCCACATAGAGACCCCTTGCTCCAAACACCAGTGTCCCCCCTTCCTCATACCCTTTACCTCTGCTTTACCACTATCCACTATATTTCAGCGACCTCATCTATACTCCTACATCTATATGTTTGTCTTCCTCAAACCTGTATTCCTCCTCTCTCTCACATCTACCAAATACTGGTGTTCTCAGCATCCCCTTCTCACAACTGTGTTCCCACTCACTCCTTCTCCACACCAGAGTTTACTTGTGCTAACAAACAGCTCCACAGCACTACCACCACCTTCTCCTCACTTCCTCCCTAGGAATGTTTTATCCTGACTCCCTCTCCACACCTGTGCTCTCCTCACTCCCAAACTCAACACCTGTGTTCTGATTACTGCCATCCCTAACATTTGGGCACTCCTCACTCCCAACCCCTACCAGTGTTCTCCTCACACTGTTCCCACATGTCTATGTTCTCTGCACTCCCAATCCTTAACTATATCCTCATTCCTCCCTCCCCACATCTGTGTTGTCCTGAGTCCCTCCCAAATCTCTGTTCTGCTCCCTCTTCATGCTTTTATTTTCTTTACTTAACTTCTTTATTTAATTTTTACAGCAGATCTTGAACTAAGAACACACAGGGATGCACATTCCTAGTTCTCTGTTGCAAGGTTAATTAATGTTCTCACAACAAGAGACATTTTACATTTGCACATATAAAATTGTATTGGTTTACCCTGTTTTCTCCTTACTTACAACCCAGTCTCATGTTTTCTTCGACCCCTTACCATATCTGTGTTGTTTCACTCCCTTCCCACTCTTGTGATCTCCTCGCTTCCTCCACAGACCTATGATCACTTTACTCCCTTTGCCCTGCATCCATGCCTGTATATGTGTTCTTACCTGCTATGCACCAATGTATTTTTCATTTAGAAAACAGCAGGGCTTTACTGCAAAATGCATAACAGCAGAATTCAAACAATAATAAAAATCAAGCATCGTGTTTATAGTGACAACTATATAATTAATTATCATCATTCTAATCAAACACTGCAC